TGGCTAAAAGTTGACTATAAGTCGATCAAAAGTGGACGGTCAATCCATAAGCAAATCCTGCCTAACCACGATGGGTCCACTAGGACCAAACTCAAAAGCAGGTATCAATCAGCAAAAGCGTAGAGAGTAAGTCTCGCCGTAGAAAGGACCATAGTGGTACATACAATTTCTGTATCCACTTTCCTTCGTGTGGTGTTCAAGTGTGAAGTTAACCTAAAACAAGAGGAAAAAAAGGTCGGATGGTGCCTCTTAAGCCAAACTTGAAAGCAAGACGCCCGCCTGCATCGGCCACGATGTGGATGGGATAAATCAGCTTAAAATGTCGACTGTGACCTGGCCGTCTTGTTGCTTCGAGTAGCGCAAGAATTGGTTTTCTCAAAAAATCCCGTCTTGTTGGCATGACAGCCGGACAAAAATCCCAGGCCCTTCCAATCGGGGCATGAGCAGAGCAGTTGAACAAGGATGCTAAGAGGGTAGGGGGGCTGAAAACACACCCGTTTGGCCGCCACCCGAGACGACTTGTGATGAAGTGAGAGTTCCGATAGAGACCGAGGGAGGCAGAAGAGCGAGATTAACATTGCGCAGCCAAACGGGGCTTAAGGGCCTCAGAACTGATGCACACCCAAACGGCCAACAAAAGTTGTCCACTTCAACTGAACAAAAATGGGCATCAACCGTGGAACTGCTGTCCCAGATCCGTAAACGCAAGGCGACAAGGATGCTAGTAAAATATCAAAGAACTGTTGCGATCGCCGACTATGCTAGAGGCAGAACACAAAAGGAGATGACATGAAGTGAGGAAATAAACAGGACCTACCTGACCAAGATCGAAAAAGGGCGGTAACCGCGTTTTTCCACACAACATTCATGGGAGGATAGCTGAAAAGAGGCAAATGAACAAATGTATGAGTTGTGCAGTCTCGAAAACCGACTCATTCACGAAAAAATGAACAAAAACACTACTTAGCAATCAAGTTTCTACAGGAAGTAGGCCAACTTTTGTAAGATTTCACTATGAAACGGGATGTAGAAAGTATACATTTATTTATGGCGTAAGATAAAAGTTATAAAAGAGCAAGTTGGGGGTTATCACATCCAGTTGATAAATTATTAAGGGGCTCCATATTTGGGAAGAGGGGCTATAATAAATGCAGAATCCTTGCAGTGGCGTTAAATGACAAATAAATTCACAGATATGGCCCTGAAAAAGAACTCAAGAGTCGTATTTCCGAGTTCCAGCTATTAAATATGGACATCTAATGAACAGTGCAAAGGGTGAATACTGGTTGATGCAAGTAATGCGAAGGAGTGACAATTCTAAATGTCCCTCAGGGTGGATGAGAATACAACTCTAGCCCGGATAGCTAAAATCAGGCATCCTCCTCGAATACGGCATATCGACTGGCACGAGTAGAGCCAAATCTATCATCATCTCCTCATCACCACTCGAGGGTGAGAGTGTTGGAGTTCGAGCTAAGTTAGACA